CTTTTTTTTTTTCTTTTTTTTTTTGTTTGCTTTCCACTCTTTCTCTCTCGTCTTTCTTTTTTAGTCCCTTTTTTCCGTTCATATCTTTTTTACCCTATTATACATTCTCCTCTTTTATTTTTTATTTTTTATCTCATCATTGGAATAGTTTCTTCCCACACATAAATATCCTCTTCCCCTGACAAAGCATTTCTTAAGTGGTTTTCCTGTGCCTCTCCTTTTCTTTTTTTTGTCTTCCCATCTTTTCCATTCTTATCCTTTTTTTTCCTATTATACATTCTTTTTATTTTATTTTATTTATTTCTCCAAATGAGACCTTATCAAATATGCTTTTCATTCCCATCTACAGAACTCGCGTGTGTATGCCTGCGGTTTCAACTAGTTTTATTAAATGTGCAGGGTGTTTAGATTATAACACTTTCATATTAATAAGCATGTCTGGAACAATGACTTGCTAGTTCTTGAATTTTGTGGTATAGGACGCAAACACGCTTGAATTTGGAGAAAAATACTTCTGAAGTAAACATGTTTAAAAGACTAATATTTTTTTTTCATCGCTGAATATATGACCGGATCATAATTTGGCCAATTATACTTCTTATGACATTTTTCTTGACAGGTAAAGCATAGATATAGGATTGCACCAAGTTCGAAAGGTGCTGAAAAAAGAAGAAGCTCAGCCATGTTACTTCTGGAGGCAATGAAAAAGGATTCCCCAAGAGTAGAGAAAACCGAGGTCAACATTCTTACTAAATCCCAGGTTGATGCAGAGCTTACAAAGATGAGGGGCATGACTCCACAAGAGGCAGCTGCAGCTGCTGCACAGGCAGTTGCTGAGGCAGAAGCTGCCATTGCTGCAGCAGAAGAGGCGGCAAGGGAGGCAGAGGCAGCCGAAGCTGAAGCAGAAGCCGCACAAGTTTTTGCCAAAGCAGCGATGAAGGCATTGAAATGTAAAACCCTTCGCATTTGGTAAATTTCTTATGCCGTTTGCATCAGTTTTGTCAAGAATGGAATAGTTGCATGGCTGAAATTAAGTTTTGAGAGCTCAGCCAGAATTCTAACGAAATACTTCCACCCTGTGTAAGAGATGTCCATGCTAAAATTTAGATCCTAGATGCAGTTTTTGTTAGTAATTTCCAACAAATATGTAAGAATGGCTTTCGTCAAAAAATGATTTCTGGTTTCCGTTGTTTTCAAGCTATTTGAAATGATTCATGTCAATCCATATGCGATTACCCGTATCTCTTGAGGATGCTAATCATGCTTTTTACCTTTTTTCTCGTTTTCAGATATGACCGAAAATTAGCACGTCGCGACAAGAATGAGCAAGAACCATGCACGGTACTTTAGATAAGGGCGATGTGTCTTCATGTGTCTGTTTATGTAAATAGAGATTTAGGCTTGTAAATCTGGAGAATGCGAATTGTAATGTAGATTTGCCTTGCTCTTTGGGGTTCTGTACCCAAGGAGTTTCGGTTTCAGATTCTTGAAATGGGAACAAAGAACAATGCAAGGACTTTTGATGCCCGAGGAGAGATCCCCATGTTGTCACTGCTTTTTGATCTGAGGGGAGAACAACGTAATAGAAGAAATGCAATTTTATGACAGTTCTTCCATTTTGGTATTTTGGTCATCTTTATACCAGAAATACAATTCTCATCATGGCAAGTCATAGGGCTGTTTGTTTCCGTTTTTGAAAACGTTCTTCACGTTTTCCGAAGATAAAAAATTGAAACGGGCAGAAAGAAAGTGTTTGGTGCAACACTTTA